GGGTTCGTCGAACCCTCACCGCACCTTTTGGTTAAGTCGTTACTTCGTACTTGTGTATTAATGCAATAAACTTTTGTGCCACAAAGTCTACGAGCGCACAACTGCACTTCTATTTTTTGAAATATAACTTAAACTTAAAATCAGCTATATGAGGAAATTCAACACACTACAAAAATTAAATTAATGAAAATATGAAAAAACGCATGATCCAGATATATTTTAATGTAGCTTTCAGGAGGTGGAGCTTTCAATCCACCTGGTTCATATCCAACTGAAAATACTGATTTCCGATTTACATAGCGAAAGCGTTCCACAACTCTGCCGCTGCCGGTCCCAAGCCCGGATGAGAAAGAAGGAGGGTTGGAGACCGTGGCAAGTCTCCATAAAATTAGCCACTTGCAACTGATGGTATTCGCGCCACCGAAAATATTACCGGCTCGGTCGTCGTCCGGGATACCAAGGGCCGCGCAGGCTGTTAGGCGATTGAGGTAGACTGCGAAAGGTCGGCGATCAGAACCTGCTCATTGCTCTCTGCCAGCCGGGGGCTTGGCAGCACAACGAGGGCTGACGAAGACCGACGCAATGACGACGAAGACACCAGTCAGCAAAGGAGTCGCTACTCGTTCTGAACGGACGAGGCAGACAGTGCGATACCATTATAGCACGTCGGAAAAGGCTTCACGAGAACGACACCACCAGTGGGAGCTTAAAGTCCGAAATTGGAACATATCCTCATTCAGAGGAAAAAAACATGAATTAGTTGATGAGGCCATGAAGTATAAATTCGACATTATTGGACTCTTGTCAACAAAACGCCCAAGCTCTGGACTCCTGAACCTTAATGGATGGAAGCTGTTCTACTCAGGCGTCGATATCACGTCTCGCGCTCAGGCCGGTGTTGGCGTTCTGGTAGAACCCAACCTTGCCGATAGAATAATCAGTTGGAAGCCTATCAGCGGAAGGGTGGTAATCCTCCGACCTGAAGCTAAAACACACTAAATCCTTGGTACAGGACTATGCGCACAATTTGGAAAGAGAATATGTGACCTTCCTTGAGGAAGTGCACTTTGATCTGTCGAAAGTGCCGAATACAGAGTCCCTCCTACTGATGGGCGATTTTAATGCCCACGTCGGAGTAGACGCTGAAAAGTGGGACGGCGTGATTGGGAAAAAGGTCCCTAGCGACCTCAACAATAACTGCATGATGATGTTGCGGTTTTGTGCAAACAACGGATTGTCCATTATGAACACCTTTTTCGAGCATCAAAAAGTGTATCAGTACACCTCTTACCGTTAAGCTTGTGCACAGAAGTCGAAGATCAATTTCATAATCGTATCATTTGACCTAAGACGCTCAGTAATGGATGTTCGTGTTAAAGAGGTGCAGAGCTATCAACCGATCATCACCTTGTTGTTGGCACGCTGCGCTGAAAGAAATGAAGTGCCATACGAAGATCCGGTGGCAGAAGCAATCGGGGAATCAAATGGGAAACATTGTTTTCGGTGGACACGAGAGCGAAATTTGCAAGCAACATCGCAAGACGACTTTAACAGATCCCAGCGATGACAACTGATGTTGAAACCCAGTGGCAGCTGTTTAAGAGAGGCCTACTCGAGGCTGCCGCCGAATGCTGCGGATATAAACGGGTTGGCCTGCCACCTGGAGGTCAGCAATGATCTTCATAGTGGACACGAGAGGTAGAACTGGCAGTTGAAAAGAAGAAAGCAGCGTTCAAGAAATGGAGCCATCTACACACGTGCGATATGTCGAAGCACGTAAGGCGGCAGCCACAGCAGTCACAAAAGCCAAGACAGATTCCTGGGAGAAGTTCGTTGAGGTGTTGGAGTCGAGC